TGAGTTCAATGTAATCAAGATGTCCCATTTCAAACAGTTGACAAGAAGGTGTGAGTATCAGCAGGGGGGAATTTAGTTTTTGTAGTGACCCATCCACTCCCAGTCTTTATTCAGGCCTAATTTGATGGTGTCTAGTTTACAAATTAATTCCAGTTCTGCAGTTTCTCATTGAAGTCTGTTTTTGAAGTTTTTTTGTTGAAGAATTGCTACTTTAAAGTCTGTTATTGAGTGTCCAGGGAGACTGAAGTGTTCTCCTACTGGCTTTTGAATGTTATAATCCTTGATGTAAGATTTGTGTCCATTTATTCTTTTGCATAGGGACTGTCCGGTTTGGCCAATGTACATGGCAGAGGGGCATTGCTGGCACATGATGGCATATATCACATTGATAGATGTGCAGGTGAACGAGCCCCTGATGGTGTGGCTGATGTGGTTAGGTCCTATGACGATGTCCCTTGAATAGATATGTGGACAGAGTTGGCACTGGGGTTTGTTGCAGAGTTAGGTTCCTGGGTTAGTGTTTTTGTTGTGTGGTGTGTAGTTGCTGGTGAGTATTTGCTTCAGGTTGGGGGGCTGTCTGTAAGTGAGGACAGGCCTGTCTCCCAAGATCTGTGAGAGTGAGGGATCGTCTTTCAGGACAGGTTGTAGATGCTTGATGATGCGCTGGAGAGATTTTAGTTGGGGGCTGTAGTTGACGGCTAGTGGCGTTCTGTTACTTTCTTTGTTGGGCCTTGTTAGGATACAGATATTCAGGCCTGTCTGCAAAGGCCTATACTTTAAGAATTTAGGTGTATTCTTATCACTTAGTTAGTTATAGAGGTATAAAAGAAAGAATCAAAATCACTTTCTGCTGGTGTAAGGGCCTTATCTTACTGTGACAGTCTGAGGCCCTGTTCTTAGGCTAAGCCTTCGGCTAAGTAGCAGAGGCAGCCATAAACTGGGAAGTGTATGGTCACATCCTCACATTCCAAACTAGTCACATTGAAATAAGATGCTATTGGGCTGTTAGGAATACAATCCTGTCCTGATATTCCTATCACCGTCAGAGAAAGGGAAGAGCCTAGAAGATGTAAAAGGAAACTTAGTTTGATAGCATCCTGTCTGGCAAGAACTCACTTATCAATAGCTGGGATGTGAAATCCTCATTTCTGTATTGTTCTATCACTGTAGTCTCCACTTCCCTATTGTTTGTCTGTATAATCTCTGTCTGGTTCTGTGATTGTTTCTGTCTGTTGTATAATTAATTTTGTTGGGTGTAAACCAATTAAGGTGGTGGGATATAATTGGTTAAATAATCATGTTACAATATGTTAGCGTTGGTTAGTTAAATTTCAGTAAAATGATTGGTTAAGGTATAGCTAAGCAGAACTCAAGTTTTACTACATAGTCTGCAGTCAATCAGGAAGTAAGGGGGCAATGGGAACAGGGAATGGGGTGGGGGAATTGGAATCATGTTTCGCTAAGGTGGGGGGAATGGGAACAGGAAATGGGAACAGGGACACAGGCAAGGCTCTGTGGTGTCAGAGCTGGGAAGGGGGACACAGGAAGGAAACTGGAATCATGCTTGCTGGAAGTTCAGCCCAATAAACATTGGATTGTTTGCACCTTTGGACTTCGGGTATTGCTCTCTGTTCATGCGAGAAGGACCAGGGAAGTGAGTGGGTGAAGGAATAAGCCCTCTAACAGGCCTGCCCTGTAGTAGGTGACTTCTGGGTACCCTTCTGGCTTATCTACATGCCTCCAGATTTCATCCAGACCACATCACACAATTCATTGTCTATAGCCAAACTCTAAGATACAACCACATTTGCTCCAATCCCTCAGACAGAGACAAACACCTACAGGATCTCTATCAAGCGTTCTTAAAACTACAATATCCACCTGGTGAAGTGAAGAAACAGATTGACAGAGCCAGAAGGGTACCCAGAAGTCACCTACTACAGGACAGGCTTGCCTGTAGTAGGGAGGGAAAGAAGGGTTGAGGTCTTCTCAGGTAAGGGTAAGGAGTGGGATAGGAGGGATTTGATATGGTGAGGGGTGGTGTAAAAGTTGTGGGTTTCGGGGCAGGGAGTCCTGTCAGCCCCAAATTCTCCCCTTCCCCATGCTGGGATCTGGGGGAGCCCTACCTCTCTGCAGGGCTCTGAACTCCTTTTTATGCCCCTGTATGGCCTGGGATCTGGGAGACCCTGCCACTCTTGGGGTGTCTAACCCCTTCATGTAATCTGTGATCAAGGGGAAGTGGGGTGGGGGCTGAATGTAATGAAAATGTAAACACCTGAAATGCAGGAAATGAATAGTTAAAATGCACATCACCCCTGTGTGGGGTTGCCAGAGTGTGTGGGGGAGGAGGAGGGGGAGTTGGATGGGGTGGGCCTGCAACATGGATGGGGAAGTCTGGCTGGACCAGGGTCGGGGGGTCCAGCTCAGCCTGGTAGTTGGGGTGAGGAGCCCAACTCAGTGTGCAGCTCACATAACTGAGGTACTGTGTGGCCCACCAGTCAGCTGCTGCCTGTGATGTGAGCTCCCAGAAACGTAGGGCAGAGGGGAGCTAAATGTTGTGGGGGATGATGGAGAAGGAAACAGACACACCAGTTTCCTCTCACACGCTTAAATTAGCCGCTGTGTAATAAAACTGTCAAGGTGTTGGGGCAGGGACCTGGGATGAGATTTCTCTCACCAGCCCTGTTACGAGCTACACACTGCAAACATTGCAGAGCACGACCATTATCCCCACTGCACTATCAGAGTGCACAGCGGTAGGAGCACTGAGCAACCACGGGGCAATCAGCCCCAGCGCTGGACTGAGCAGCCGGCCTCCCTGACCCTGAAGCCCCCCCCAGCCAAGCTGCGATGGCTCCAACACTGGGCCGAGCCATCAGCCTCTGAGCCCCAGTGCTAGGCTGAGGCGCTGGCCCCCGGAGCAGTAGGCCAGCCCCAGCGCTGGGCCAGGCCGCCAACCACTCGAGCGCCAAGCCAAGACGCTGCCCCCCACCCCACCCCAAGCCACCAGCCTCCCCAGCACCACGCAGCACCTGACCAAGCTGCCCCACTCCCCCGCCAGATGCCCCTGGCTGGCCACCCACTGGCTTGCCGCGTTCCTTCCTCACTCCCCCTCCCAAGAGGAGGAGGGACGCAGTGAGCAGCGGGGACTTCTGGAGGGGTGGTGGTGGTGAAGTGGCAGGGCCACTGTGGCACAGGCATCCAGTGACAGGTCAGCAGCAGGGAACGCTTAGCCTTTCATGCCTATTATACCCACCGCCCATGACTACAACCACCTAAATGGCCACTAACTCCTACAACAAACGTTTCCCTTTCTGTTTAAAAAAACTAGAAAATTCAGTGACAAAACCTTGGCTAGCACAGAGTTCAGGCTGCCTGGAGATATTATCTCCTGCCCTTCCACAGCACAGTGACAGCTCTGAGACCCTGTCCCCACTACTCTCTTCACTGGTCAGTACAGCTACACTGAACACAGGGAATGCAGCTGCAGTGGAGGCAGATACATGCTGCAATTCAAATCTGTGGAACACAACACAAACAATGGCACCTTCCTGTAATCCTGCCTCATGTCTATTCACTGACAAAAAACTTAGGGTAGGTCTATACTATCGCAGTAAGTTGACCTAAGGTATACTACTCCAGCTACATGAATAATATTTATTATTATTCAGTCTCCCATTGACTTACCTTACTCTTCTCATTGGGGGTACAGTACATAAGTTGACTGGAGAGCGATCTGCGGTCGATTTGGCGCGTCTTCACTAGACCCGCTAAATCGACTGCGGGTGCATCGATCTCCACTCTGTCGATCCTGACTGTAGTGTACATGTAGCCTTAGTTACCTCCAGGCAACCTTAACTCTGTATTATCTCATGCACTTCCAGAATGCTGAGTTCAGCAATACTCAGACCTCTAAAACTAGGAAATCCATCAGGAAGGTAAACACCCAAACAACCTTAACTCTGCCCCTTTGGAGCTGGCAATAACCACTGGGAATTGGTTGCATGCACTAAAGCTGCATCCACTCTGCTTGGTGTAGCTGTAACGACCAGTGGAGGGATTATTTGGAGCATATTGGCAGAGCTGTCACAGTGACATCAGGAGAGGTGCAGGTGTACCTTGAGGGATCAATCATGCCTCATTTCAGCACTGAGCAGTGCAGGCTCTGTCAGTAGCAGGGCACAGACTACTTGCCGTGGGGATTGTCAGCAGCCTGGTATCAGATATGTCAGTGATCACCAAGGCTTGGTGAGGGGTAAGTGAAGGTAACGTCCCAGAAGAAATCCACACCCACAAGGCAAAGGTGACGAGGCGATAACATTTTGCAAGTTGGGGGTGGTGAGTGTGGAGTAGGCTCAATGTTTGAGTGTAGACCCAGGTGTTCACTACACGTGGCCTAAACCTCATGTCCTGGATACAGAACTAGCTGCACCTCTGTCCCCTTGCTGGTCTCTCTGACAGCACCTTCAGGGGTCAGGCCTACTGACCTGTCCTGGGAGCAGGGAATTCCTCAATTCTCCCACTCTTAGACCAGGCTCTGGGCTACAGGGCCCTGTGTATCAACCACTGTTACCCTGAAGGGGCCAGACACGAGCCGAGATCAATCCCAGCTGGTGGCATCAGTTTGGGGAGGATCAGCCATTTTTCCCCCCGTGTGCACAAAATAATTGTAATAACCACAACATGTTAATGTCACCTGACTGTTTAGGGGTATTAATGTGTCTCATTAACCCCTTGCTCTAATGCCCTCAAACTTGGGCCACTAACCCGACCCCAGAGTCCAATGAGTCACAGCAATATTCAAGACAACCTGAGTATGCGGCCAGGTTTTAGAGAACTTAGAAAAAACAGATATTAAACAGCAAACTAGAATCAACCTTATCCAGAGCAGAGACCCTGACCCACTATAATGAAAAAAATTGTGTAATCTCACAATGAACCCTCCTGACTCCACTTATTACCCTGTTGAAGACATTAAAACATCAGAACAAGTCACTGACCTGCCACCTGCACTTCCAATATAGCTCCTTCATAAGAGACACTGGACTGAAAAAAACATTTGTATTGTCCATCATCGGAGGGTCGGATATTGCGTATTCTCAGGGAAACACTCCCATTGGTGATGTCATCTTTCAAGAGCTCAGTTCTTCCTCGATATTCCGGCATCTGCTGTCCATACTGATCCCGCCCACCACGGTACAGGTGCACGACTGCAGAGAACTGGGATCGGAACCATCTCAGCTCCATGTTCTCAGCGCTCATCCTGGGGAAGAGGTGGCAGGGCAGGACGGCCTCCCCACCTACGGAGGCAGCGATTGGACGGTCAGGTCCAGTCACTGTGAACTGTGCTGTGAAATGTACAATGAAAAAGGGAAATTAAATCGGCGAGGGGCTGGGGTTTGGCATTAATTCAGCAGTAAGACATACAGTAAGAGAGCGCCCTGCGTTAGAAGTGAAAGACCATTTAACGTCAAAAGCTTGACGGAGCATAAATCAATAAAAGGTCTGAACACATATTCCAATTATCCGAAAAAATTCTCATGTAGCACATGAGACTCTCTGGAAGGTTCCAAAGTCTTTCAAACCTTTTTCTTAGGGTTTGTCCTCTTGGTTAACAGGTCCTGTCACTTTGCAGCCCAAGATCTCGGGCCTCTGGTCACTTCAAATCCAGCTTTTATACCAAAAATCTTTGTTCTCTTGGGCTTCTGGGACCTGGTCTAACCCAGTTTATGCAATTCTCCCTAGGAGTGGTACTTCTCTGGAGCTGTTACCTGTCCCACAAGTAATTACCCCCCATGGTTTGCAAATTCAAAAGGAGATGGGGTAACCCTCCTGTGATGTTGTAGTCTATATGGTTTTATAAAAATATGCTAATGAGTGAATATAATGAAGCTGGAATATGCTTCATGCAAAAGGTCTCTTGTAAGGTATCATTACAAAGCTTATAATCTACTGAGTGTGATCATCCTATTTGTATAAATGTACCACTCTTGTATCTGAAACTAGAAATATGAAATATAACTCTGAGGGCCTATTGTAATTGTGCAAAGTGTGGGCCATTAATGGTGGTTTGGAATCTTGATGACTCCCATTAACCAGGACCATTGTCTGCAGATGGCTGTGTTTTACCTGTAAGTCTTCCTGTACACATGTGTACTGTCAAGAGGGCAATGAAGTCTTGCAGTGACATGTGATCATGTCACCTGAACTGGAATCCATCTTTAACCTAGTGTCTTTCCATTGAGAAGGCGGGGGTGGGAACCCAGAGAGGGACAAAAGATTCCTGCCCTATGCAAAAGATATATAAAGGGGTGGAACAAAACAAAAGGGGAGAGGAGCCATCATGAAGAATCCCCTAGCTACCACCTGAGCTGGAACAAGAGCTGTACCAAGGGAAAGAATCGTGCCCAGGCCTGGAAGGTGTCCAGTCTGAGGAAAAAACTGACTGAAGCATCTCTGAGGGTGAGATTATCTGTATTCAGTTTGATTAGACATAGATTTGCGCGTTTTATTTTCTTTTGTTTGGTGACTTTGTTCTATCTGTTATTACTTGGAACCATTTAAATCCTACTTTCTGTATTTAATAAAATCACTTTTTACTTATTAATTGACCCAGAGTATATATTAATACCTGGGGGAGCAAACAACTGTGCATATCTCTCTATCAGTGTTATAGAGGGCGAACAATTTATGAGTTTACCCTGCATAAGCTTTATACGGGGTAAAACGGATTTATTTGGGTTTAGACCCCATTGGGAGTTGGGCATCTGAGTGTTAAAGACAGGAACGCTTCTGTTAGCTGCTTTCAGGTAAATCTGCAGCTTTGGGGCAGGTAATTTAGACCCTGGGTCTTTGTTGGAGCAGACGGGAGTGTCTGGCTCAGCAAGACAGGGTGCTGAGGTCCAGACCTGGCAGGGAAGGCAGGGGTAGAAGTAGTCTTGGCACATCAGGTGGCAGCTCCCAAGGGGGTTTCTGTGATCCAACCCGTCACACCTCCCCCATGGCATAGATTACAATCTCAAACCCACAAAGATACATATAACATGTATAGATACCATTGATAAAGGGGGTACAAAAATAAATAGAACATGCATAAAGTGAATTTGATAGTCCCCAAAATGCCGCACATGGCTGCAATATCTGTCACACAGAGTTCACATGAGTGTTATACACTGTCCCTATTATCTCTGAATAAAGCTCCAACTTCTCATAGGCACCCTGGGGATAATGGTACTGGGGGCCTGGTTCTCTGATACACAAAGGCCTTTTCATGCTGCTCCAGCACAGGGGCCTCCTCATCTGCAGGAGGGGTGGTGTAAAGGCTTACAAGGTGTAAAGATATGAAAACAGATCATCACTATGTGGGCAATGGCTTTAAAGATAAAGTCAGAGGTCAGATAATGGAGAGGGAGAAGGAGGCAGATAGAAAAGTGCAAGAAACAGAGAATCGGTCACTGTGGAACTGCACAGGATGTGGGAGTCTCGGTGCAGAGACTCAGCATCAGGAGAGACAGAGAGAGCTGGTTAAATTAACAGGATGGAAACCACAGCAGGGGGGGAACCAAAATGCCCGAATAGCTGTGGAGTTGTCCTGGGGGTTGGGTGGGACAATATAAGGAGTTCACTGAAGGCACAGAATGAAGAAGCCAGCAAATATCCTCACATCCTCACTGTGAGATGAGGTCTAGCTCTGAGCCCTAGTCAGATGTGCCTAATGCAGCATGAATGGCTTGTGGGTTGTTACGTCTAAACTGGAGAGCCTAGGATTCAGGACTCCTTCGTGGCTGAAGAATCTGATTTGTGACGTATTTGGTCTGTCAGTGCAGTGTATAGGAATTGGGAAGTGTCCTTTTAAATAGTTTGTGAGCCCTGTAGTGGTGCTCACTGTGTTCTGTGTTTTAGAAGCTGCCAGAAATCAGCCAGAGCAGTAGGAAGGATGTAGTGTCAAGGCCTGACAATATGGTGTATAGATAGTAACCATGGTTACTGGGGACCCAGGTGTAGCCTGCGATTTCTCCATGTGGCTGGTTGTGGGCAGGTTGAGCAGACGTGGTTTACAAGACAAGGCAGTGATGTGAGATATACGCTGATGACCAGCAATAGTAACAGCAGCAATCCCAGCGAGGAGGCCGGAGCTCCTACCTGACACCAGCCTGTGAACCTGTAGAGTGAGGCAGAGAGCGACGTAGCCGGGCAGAGCGGAGCTCACTGTGGAGCCGGGGGAGAACGAGGGAACCTTCCCTGTCATCGTAGCTGGGTCTGGGGAACAGGAGAAATAACAAACCAGACGGCGAGTGAGTGGGATGCAGTGACAGTGACAGTTTGTCTGACTTTCATAGCCCTGGTCCATGTATCAGTTATGTTTACATTAGCGCACTTCCCAATATTCATAGACTAAGGTCAGAGGGGACCATTAGATCATCTAGTCTGACCTGTGGCACAAGCCAAAGAAACATTTAAAATATTAAATATAAGGGTAGGTTAAGAAAAGAGGATTTAAAAATATTAAATAAAAGAGAAACATACAAAGATAGGTTAAAAGAGAGAACAGGGCAAGAAAAGGAAAAAGAAAGTCCCTTTGCAAAGGGCAAAGATAAACAGCATGTGGTTGAGTCGGAGAGAGAGATCTTACCCTTGCAGCTGTTCCTGGGGAAAGAGGGAGC